ACATATGTCCATTTTTAAATACTTCACTCATTATGAAAATAACATAAATACATGTCAAATCGTGTTGGTATAAAATTATGTTGAATGAATGCAGATCTACATTCAAGGCATGTCAGCATGCTGCAGACAGACTGGGCATGGTAAACATGGGGGCGGGGGCATTTACATGGACATGCAAAGTGAAACACAGTAGCAAATAATCATCATGGACATGAGTTCACAGCTTCATTAAGACATTAAATACCAGTTTGGATCTGAATCTACAGCAGTGATTTCCAGTATTGAATAGAATTAAAGTATTGGAGCAGCTGGATTTTGTGAAATGTCAGAGTGAAACTGTTCTTGGGTTCATTGGACTGACCACTGTTTGAAGAATCCATGAGTGATAATGAATGGTTTAGTCTTTAGTTTAGTTTATTTACGGTACCTGTGACTCTCATGTCCATGATTGGAACTTCACATACAGACAGTGGTGCGCACGGGGATCGCAAAACAACTGCTAGCTAACAGGTGCAAAGTGACGCAACTTAAAAGTGAATCATTTCACACAAATGGTCCAAAAGGACGGTAGCCAGCCGTTGTCTCCCGGTGCTCACCACTGCATACGTCATATTTGTCCTTCACAGTTTCACGTTGAGACACTTTTTTACTGACTTTTACTAACTTTCTCTCCTTGTCTTTTCTTCAGAGGCCAAACAAAGGCCTTATTACGCAGACTACTCCCCGCTGCGTCTGTCCGTCCACACACTGTGCACCAGCCACTACCTGGACCTGTTCATCACCTTCATCATCTGCATCAACGTGGTCACCATGAGCATCGAGCACTACAAGCAGCCGCAGGTACAGTAACATGCTCAGGTAGACCGGAATCAAGAAGAATGTGTTTTTTAAAACATTCATTAACCGTTGCAACAAAAAGTTCTTTAATCTCAGTGTTTATAAGAAGAGGTTGAGGTTGATCACAGCTGACAGACAGAGTGGTGTCTGTAAATGAAATCTAAAATGACTTCTGGAGAGAATCTCTTCCCTAAAGCCCTTGGGCAGCATTACTTTACACAAAATACTTGAGTTCAGCCAGAAATTCTTAACAGTCATTTAATTCATCTTGGTGTTTATCATCCCAGTGTGGCTGAAGTCAGAACATTGTTCAGTGGTAATTTGAGGAATAATGACTTTTTTTTTCTTTGCTCAAATGTGGCAAAAAAAAAGGAATTAAAGAAACTTTAAAACTAAATCTCCCTCCCCAAATGTGAAAACAAAAGATTCACAACAAGGCTTGATTTTCTACACTAAAGGCAAACACTAAACCCTGAATGTCTCCATAATCTACAGCTGACTGATTTAACAGCAGAAATAAACGATGCCTGGAAGTTTTTATGGAAGATTGTAGATTATATTTGAAGGAGTGATAAAGATCCAGACCTGCAGAGATGGATGCTGGGGTTTGGGTAAACTGCCTCACTGTAGATGGAATCAACTGGACAACTTTTACCAGAACAATAAACCCGATGGAAGAAGAGGTTTTCTAGACAAACAATGTCCTGATTCTCAGCTGGACACGGTCTCCTCAGCCGAACTGTCTGCAAAGGTCTAGATAAGGCAGAAAGGAACTGCTTACAGAACACACACCCAGAAATATTAGTGAGACTGAAGGCTATTGTTTAAGTGTAATGAACTCAGACTTCACTGCCAGCAGGGGGCTCCTGGCACTGCATCAAGTCTCTAAGTCAGGTCATAACAGTCAGTGTTCTCTGCCAGGTCCTGAAAATGATTATGGCAGACTCTTGTAAAAGACCGCACTGGTCATTTTTTATGCCTGATTCAGTCATTTTCATTATATTTTTTTATATATTCACTTGTTTGAGATAAGTAAAAAAAAAATCCAAATCCATTTTAATTATTTTAAAGATCCAACAATAAAACATTTAAAGTCCTATACATATACAATATTCTTCACTTTTAATTTAAAACAGGTAAATGTATTAACAACCAAAAAACATTTGAAAAAAATAAAAGGTTATGATTTTTTTCTTGTAAAGTCAGAATTATTAATCATCAGCTCGTGACTGTGCTTGTGTCTCTGTACGTCGGTCTGTCTGCAGTATTTAGAGGAGGTGCTGAAGTACTGTAACTACGTGTTCACGTGTATCTTCGTCATCGAGGCTCTGCTCAAATTGGTGGCGTTCGGCATCCAGAGGTTCTTCAAAGACAGGTAAAAGAAACACACCCTGGGAGAGTAACAACAGGTTTGTGATGTTTTTGTGTGAGTGACCACAGCACTGAAAAGATGTCTGTCGACTTGTTCAGGTGGAATCAGCTGGATATCGCTATCGTGGCCCTGTCCATCATGGGCATCGCACTGGAGGAGCTGAAAATGAACGCAGCGCTGCCCATAAACCCAACCATCATCAGGATCATGAGAGTTCTCAGAATAGCACGAGGTGGAGCGCACGTCCACTCATTTGAATTCGGCTGTGACGTCCCCTCCTGTGTCTCTAACAACTGCTCTCTCTCTCTCCCTCCCCCTCTGTCTCTCTCTGCAGTGCTCAAACTTCTGAAGATGGCCACAGGGATGAGAGCTCTGCTGGATACTGTCATGCAGGCGCTGCCACAGGTGAACACAGACTCCAGCTGCCGCGGAGACTGCGATGCACACGTTGCCGTACACCCCCGTCATTTTTAATTAGCTACAAAGTGTTCAGATTCACGAGGACTTGGGTTTTAAGAAAATGGATTTTAAGACGAAACAAAACAAAAAAACATCATTCCACAAATGGATTTTAAGACAAAACAAAACAAAAAAACATCATTCCACAAAAACAGCTGCAGGAACAGGAGGTGCACAGTAGAGTGTGCACATAATCGTACACAGTGACAGGTTTTATGGCTTCACTACAACCACTGCTGTTCCTCCCACGCACCTCACGTCTGAAAACACAGTCATCTTCCAACTGTAAATGCAGTAACATGTTCAGTTTAACCCAGTACAGGCAAAAAAAACAAGACCTGAAATTCTCAATGGTCCGGGAGTCCACGTGTAGAATATAGTAGACAGATGTGGACCGCAGGCCGGCCAGTTGAGCACACACTCAAACATGTTTACAGCACAAATAGTTCTGCTAATAAAGCATGAATAAAATCACGAATGGAGGAAAAGTCCTCAAGAAATGTATGATATATAAATGTTCTTTTGCCTAAGGAGAGGATTTTGGAATCTTTCATATATAAATAATACCACAACTTTAACTCAAGCGTTGACTGAAGTTCTTGGGTTTTGGAAAGTTTGAAGAATAATTTTCCTTTTTGCTGCATTTCTGAAGTTTTCCAAACTTCTCAGTAAACAAGTTTCACATCCATACATGGGTTTCAAACTGACAAAGCTGAAGACCATCACGTTTCCTTCTGCCATATGAACACACATACACGTACACTCGTCTGGTGTCGACGGTGCTGACGTAAACTTTTCCTTTCCAGGTGGGAAACCTCGGTCTCCTCTTCATGCTGCTCTTCTTCATCTACGCAGCCCTGGGAGTGGAGCTGTTTGGCAAACTGGGTAAGCCACACCACAGCCCATGGCTTTAATGAAAAAAAAAAAGGCTATCGCAGTCACGACTTAGAGGAAGATTTCTCTGCCTGAACTGTCTTTGTGAAATCCAGAGTATCTCCTGCCATCTGTCACCCCCTCTCCTCTCCCCTCCTCTGTCTCCTTTGTTTGAATAATGCCTTCCCAGTGGAACGGCTCCTTCCAGCTCCTTTTTCATGCAATGTGTTCAGAAAAAGAGTTCACAGCAGTGCAGTCCATGACAGAAGTTTACATTTTTTATGTCCCGTCTTTGTTGCAGTGTTGTTCTTTCTTTAAGTAATAAAAAGAGAAACTCATTCTCTACAACATTTCACTTCATCAGCCACTTCATTTAATTAATTGATTAACTGTCACTCACCATGACCGCGGCTGCAGCATCTACATCTTTCAGGTAAATTATTTTTACACCTGATTAATATCACATCCGTCTTTGTTTCTGATCAGAGTGCAACGACAACAACCCGTGTGAGGGCTTGAGCCGACACGCGACGTTTGAGAATTTCGGAATGGCCTTCCTCACACTGTTCCGAGTGTCTACAGGTGACAACTGGAACGGGATTATGAAAGTACGGATTCAGACACACACACACACACACACACACACACTCTATCTTGGTGTTAAATTTTAAAAACATGCAGACAGATAATGGCATTTAAAGTCCACCTTAAAAGATAATCCTAACTTCAATCCAGTTCTGACCACAGAGATAGTAAAGATTTTTTTTTATTTTGTCCAATATGTTTGTCTTGTCTGTCTTTGTCTCTGAAGGACACACTGAGGGAGTGTCAGGAGGACGAACGCCACTGTCTGTCCTACCTGCCCTGGGTCTCGCCCATTTACTTTGTCACCTTCGTACTCATGGCCCAGTTTGTGCTGGTCAACGTGGTGGTGGCCGTTCTGATGAAACATCTGGAGGAGAGCAACAAGGTGCTGTGTACGGAACGACCAAGTTCACTGTAAACATGACGGTAAACACGCTGACCATGGGATGTCTGTGTGTATGTGTTTGCAGGAAGCCAAAGAGGACGCAGAGATGGACGCAGAGATCGCCCTAGAAATGGCCATGGAGCAGGAACGCAAACTAAGCACAACGTCCAACAGCAGCTCGGTGGATGGAGCTTATGTTGGACCATGTCCACAGTCGCCTGGAGAGGTAGAGCATTTCCTACTGGTCAGCCTGGAGTCATTATGGAGATCATTATGGAAATAATAAGAAAATTAGTATTTTTTTAATGGTTTAAAAGTTACTATATATACATAGATATTGACTCTCAGAGTCAACATATCAGAAGGGTGTTTTTTTTTTTAAACTTTTTTGGTGCAATGTTATTAAATAAAACTGAACGTTGTGCGTCAATGTATCAACATAATGGTCTTTGTCTCCCCCTGCAGGACGAAGAAGTGCAGTACATAAACCCTGAGCTGCTCTCACCCAGAAAAATGTCCGTTTCCAGGATGCACTCTCTACCTAATGACAGCTACATGTTCCGCCCTGTGAGGCCCGCCAGCGCCCCCTATCCTTTGGAGGAGATTGATTCCCAACAACATCATTCAGGTGCTTTAATACTGAAATAATGAAACTTATTTCAACCATATAATAATATTTTTAACACATTATATGCTACTATAAGATTCATTATTTTTTCCACCTCAGATTTTTATTTCTTTTTTTTTTCTCAGTTCGCCCTGAGTTGTGTTGTGTTGTGTTGAGTCTTGTTTTTGTAGACCCTTAAAGTTCAAGTGTCCATTTGTCTGTCTTAGTGGACACGTTTTGGACACGGTATTTCTCAAATTGATCCTGTTTTCGTCTCCTGTCCATCCTATGACTGGACGCACATTCACAATAATTGGATCCTCATTGGTTCCCTTAATTTACATGATGAAATCAGTGCTGATTGGACCTCGTCCCTGCCCCTGACTAATACATCAGTACATTTTGTCATTGTCATTCAACATCCTATAACTTTCTATTTCCCTTTGGTCATAAAATATAAGTCTAAAAAAAATTAAAAATTGGTTTCAATTAAGGATTTTGTTCAATTCCTAAAGTGTGCCAACGTTGGCTTTTGCCAGACAGACCTCGGCCGACACTGACGAGTGTGTTTTACTGTATCTCCAGTCAGAATCTAACGACATGTTGTGGGCAGCCTCTGAACAAGCCCCGCCCCTCTGTCTCCAGGTACTCACTGCAGCGGATGAGCTCGACACGTGTGCCACCTTCTCACAGGCTCATCTGCTCAGCTGTGGAATGGCTCAGTTAGACTATTAGGCTGAACATGAACGGCCGAGCTGCAAAGTCACAGTCACAGAAAAGTCAGGGATGAGAGTGACTCCGGTGACTTTGCAGCTCGAAAAATGGAATTGGACTGAACTCTGACGTTGCAGGTTTCACTTGAACTGAGTCTGGACTCACAGGTGAACTGGACCTGTGTGACCAGAATCAATAAGAACCTGGTTACAAACTTCACTGCCCAGACAAATAAACTCACATGCTACTGTTGTAACATGTATAGATTAAGCCATTGGTTCCCAAAATAAAGGGCAACCTCCCCTGACCCCCCGCCCAGGGGTCAGAGAGCAATTAGTGGGGGTCGCAAACAAGGCAAATTAATTTTTATATTCCATATTTCCAATTTCCAAAATGTAATCATGATGATTCCAAGTGTAGAGGTTTCATAAGAATTTCTTGAAGCAGCTGCTGTAAGTTTCTCAAAGTGAGGCTGGGGGACTTGACACCAGTCCAATCTACAAAAGTGTGGCCCTACAGAACAAGTTTGGGAATCTCTGGATTAAGTGATACTGTATGACGCAGTAATCTGGATTTAATGTAACCAGGATCTTATGTCCAATCAGAACTTGACTTCCTGACTGACTTCCTGTTAGGGTTTAACTTTCTTCTTAAAGGCTTTATTTTGATAGCAGTTGGAAGTTTGAGCATCGATGGTTTAAAATGTGTCATAAAGTAACATTTGATGAAATGGTCATTTAATTCCAATTTGCTGTCAATATAAAGTGTGTGTAGTGTTGAGTTGCAGAGCGTTTCTCTGCATGTATTTTGCTGGAGAAGTGCATGTGTTGACAGTGAGGCTGGTGCACGTGTCTGTGCACGTGTCTGTGTCACTGAGCGATTGCATTTGAAACTTTCAGGCTCGGTGACGTCGGTTCACTCCCAGCCCTGTGGGGGTCGCGCTCTGCTCCAGGTACCAGACGCCTCGCCTGCTCGTCCTCGCTTACCTTCCAACCTTATTCCACCCCGCATCGCCCCACCCTCACCCAGTCCTTCTCCACGTGCCCTGCGCAGACAGGTGAGTGCTGCAGACACACACACACACACTCCACCAGTGCCGTTCACACACTCTGATCACGCTGTGTTTTGGCAGGTCGCTGTTAAATTGGATTCCGTGGAGTCACAGAGTTGTGAACAACAGGAGAGACCAAACCCCGCCCAGCTGCCTCCCCCGTCCCCTTCACAACTCTCCCCTCAAACATCCTCTCCATCCCCCCTTCCTCCTCCGCCTCCCTCGTCACCGATGGCCCTCTCGCTCCCACCCGGCTCTGCCTCTGCCTTCCCCCTTCCGCCCACCTCTCCTGCTCATCTGTCGGCTCTTCTTCCGGCTCTTCCTCCTCCGCCTCCTTCCCCATCACTACTGCTGCCTCCACCTCCCTCCCCCCGTCACCCCCTGCGCTCCCCTGGCCTTCATAGACCCAGACCATATTCCTCTACTTCGGTCCGTGACCCGGCTGACGAGGAGGTGTGTCACATCACCAGCTCAGCCTGCCACAGGTGGAGGGAAGAGGAGGGGGATGGACTGGAGAGCAGAGGGAAGGTGGGACGCAGCCACTCCCTTTCTCCTTACACCTCCCCTTACTCCCTGGACTACTCACCTCCTCCTCCTTCCATGCTGCCATCGTCTTCATCAAAAAGCACACTGAACCTGCTTCAGGTGGGACTGAAGGACCGAGACTTCAGGAAGGGCTTCAGCGTCGACAACCAGGGTTTCCTGGAGAAGCCGGCGTCGCTGTCGGTCGGTTTCCCAGAGGAGCAGCGACGCCACTCCATCGAGGTGTGTCTGCCTCAGAGCGGAGTCGCTGCCGATGACCGAGCCTTTGAGCAGGAGGTCCGCAGAACGGAGAGGGGAGGCCAAGCATTCCCTGTGAGGGTGCAGTCGGTGGGAGGTGGGCACAGGAAGAAGAAGATTAGTCCTCCCTGTATATCTATCCACCCGCCCTCAGAGAGAGAACACCTGCAGCCGGCCTCACCCCCGCAGCTGACGGCCGACTGCAGCATGACGCTGAGACGCAGGACGCCGTCCTACGACTTGACCCATCACACACCCTCAAAAACACACACCCAGGACGTGTTGGCGGACACACAGATGTTGTCTCCGGTGCACGCAGCATTGGCGCCCGTACCCATAACAATACAAGCCCTCTCACCCACTCATACACTCACACCCTCACGGGCGTCCACTCCGGTGCACATGCAGTCGTGCACGCCACCGCACCCTTCCACACCCACGCACTCTCACATCCCCATCAGCCCACACATCTTCATTCAGCCTCATGCACCTCTGGTCCCAAACCCGATGCCTTTCTCACAGACACACTCCCTCTCCCCCATCCAGAGGCACGCCTCACTCTCAGGGGACTGTGTCCCCCTCCCCCAGTTCACCTTTGACCAGCCACAGTCCAGGTTCATGAGTGGCCTGTCAGCTGGCCTGTCAGACACTGACACCGCCACCTGCTCCTCACCTTTCGACAACAGACTGGGAGGTGGCGCAGGATTTAGTGCAAAGAACCGCAGGACCGCCCAGTGAACGTCGAGCGTTGCCTTCAGGAAGTCATTTATTTGGTCCTTAATCTCTGGATTAACCGGCAAAAGTTTGAGGAGGAGGATTTTCTTTTTGTTTTTGTTTTGATTTAATTCTTCAAAGACATTATTTACTCTTTTTAGAGAGCTGCTGGTAAAGCCCTGTCCTCGAGTGGTGGATATAAAGGTGGATCAGAGATTCTTAACCGAGCACGGAGGACGGCAGATCCACTGAGGCTGCACCGGTCGGACAGAATCCACTGTACATTGTGTGTTTGGACTAATACGAACAACACACACACACCGAGACTTATCGTAAGCCACCAAACTTCGTAGCCAAAGTTTTTTTGACACACTGTACCTTCCCATGCAAGCCAATCAGGAAGCAGCGTCTGGCTGATGACCTCTGACCCTCGCCCGGGAAGTGGTTTCTGACATGCGAGCATGGAGGGAAATGTGGGATATGCAACTTCAGGTTTTCTACAGGAGTTCTACTTGCCCCTCCTCTGCTCCTTGATCACATTGATCAGAGCAGTGTGTGTGTGTGTGTGAGAGAGAGAGTGGGCGTGCGTCTGTTTTCCTACGTGTGCGTTCTGTCAGGTCTGTCGTCCTGTGAGTTGATTGCGTTCTTCTTCTGCCTGCGACGACAGGGCGGGGAGGTAGGGGTGTGGGGGGGCAGAGTGGTCGTCTACATGTCTCTGTGTGTTGTAAATAAAGGAAAATACTGTATTTGGTGAGATTAAAAAAAATAGCTCTATCCATATGCACATATTTTTATAGGAATCTGAGATGTTTTTGCACACAAATTTAAATTCCCACTTGCTTGTTTTCCTTTCCTCGTTGTCCTCCCGTGAATGTATGTTTCTCTTCAAAACCGAAGGAGCAGTGAAGGGGATCAACTCCACCCTTGGTCCGCACCGCTGCGGCCGCAGGGCTGAGATTTTATTTTTCTATTTTGAAAAAAAGAGAAAAGAACAGGGATGTGATGTGTTTCCGTAGCTTTGTCTCAGACTTTGTATGTACGTATGTGGTGTCTAGATAACAGTTCTGAAAGGCAGGCTGAGTGATGCCAGCCCCAAGAATTATATATATATATTTTTTAACTGGATGAACAGTTGATCATTTTGGCTTTAACTCAAATTGATATCACCCAGTTTTATACAAATCACCTTTTCTTATTGGCCCAAATACACTGGAAATGTGGCCTTAACACAGCACCTGTAATCAACAAAGTCTAAAGGAAACGGCATCACTGAACCTGTGTTTGTAAAAACTGTTTTTGAAGCTGAATCAGCTCCGACACCACGCAGTGTTTCTGTACATCCAATGACAACCAAACTATCTATCTAACTTAATATGTGTAGCCAGAGTGCAATAATGATAATATATACGTGTGGTGAGGCTATATGACCAGACCACACTTGTGTTCGTATATACTGTAGACCTAATATATATGATATGAAAAAAAAACACGTTTTTATACCACGTTTACGAGTGTTCCCCGCTGTTCCTGCGACTCCTGGGCGGGGCCGTGGTGGCACAGGTGCGGCTGGCATCAGTGCGAGGAACCGTAGGTTGTTATAAAAGCTCAGGCCTTTTCTGCTGAAGGTCGTTCTACTAATTATGGAAGAGTAACACTGAGGACCCCATAATAAGGCATAGATCTTTTCTTTGTAATAAAACATCAGGTCTGCATGCGTTTTTGTGTTTAAAGTCACAGTAGATGACGTTTGTCCCGAACGAACTCCTGCATCCTGTTGTACTCTGACATGTACGGAAGTCAACAAACTTTTCTTTTTTTTTCTTTTTTTTTTTCCTCTCCTGTTTGACTGAATGTTTTTCTTATGAAGCCATACTGTTCTATTCAGACTCAGCACAATATAAATGTTTGTTTTCTGCACAATCTGGTCTGGCACAGGAACGGAGTCTGCATGTGTGAGAGCTGCTGGTGACGACCGTCCTCCTTCTCTAAGGCAGCTGGCTGTGTTGACACGGTCAAAAATGGGGTTTTACCGTCCGTTGATTTTAAATAATAATCTTTATCAGCATGCATATTATATTATGAATATATACAAAAACCAAAGTGCTTTGAAAATCATAAGTACTGCCAGCTTCAACAAACACGTCTGCTTTCAGTGGTTGGAATTGGTTCACGAAGCTCCGGTCTTCAGTTTCTAGGAGTTTAAGGCAGTTGGATTTTATTTTATTTTTTCTCTATCTCATTTTATTCTGTTTTATTTAATATTCTTTAATTTAATTATGAGTTGCTTTTTTATTTTATTTTATTTTTAGTTCTTGTTAAGTCCAGTGTTAGCAGTCATTCAAATACCATTGTGTTTTGTTTTAACCCTGCAGAGACAAAGATCTGGAACAAAAACAAAAACATTATTTTTCATTTTCCACATCTTTATTCAAGACATCCTACATCTCCCAAACAGTGTGTACGTATGTGGCAAGGTTTAAAAAAACAAAAATCCTGCGTGTCTAGTTTACTTGTGCGCTCATGTTATGGACCTCCGTGTGTGTGTGTCCATGTTATTGGTCAGATAAACACACTTCTACCCTGCAGAAGTTAAACAAAGAAAAAACAACTTTAAAAAAATCAGAAGCAGGAAATGTTCTCGTTGTCGTCTTTGTCGTGTACATACAGAGGCGCAGTTGACCTTTGACCACAGTTGCGTACGTGTGTCTTCTGAACGTGGATCAAAGTCATTTTTATACTGTAGTTGATCAAACATCAAACACACGTCACTGTCCAACCACTTTGTCCTACGTCACGTCATCTTCCTGCACAGACTTGTCAACAAGGAGAGTGTAAGGACGCCCCCTACCGTCAGTTTATGACCTGCAGCAGACGCCCCCTTTCCCCTTATTTTGAGCATATTGCCATAATAAACAATACAGTTTGGTAGAGTGACTGCATTAGTGTTCTTAAAACTTTACGGATCTCTGGGTCTCAGTATTTGACTCCTGTTTTTCGAGGAACCACTTTGACTACTGCATGTTCTGATTTTTGAAAATGTAGAAAATACTTTTTGGG